TGACTGAAAATATTATTATAAATTACTATTTTTTTCAACAGAAGAAATATCAAGAATTTTTATGACAACTAAATATTCAAATAAAACCCCAAATGCATGACCAATTATTTGAATTTGTTAAGACAACATGAACCAGAAGACAAATATGTTCGATTGATAAGTTATGCGTAATGAATTGATGAGTATAATATGTAAAGATAATGTAGAGTTGGTAGGAAAAATGAAAAGATCTCATTGCAAATGTCATGTTAGGAGAAGTAGGAATACCAACAAAAAACTACGCGGGAATCAAAGAAGACGACAAAAGAACAAGGCCCAAGTTTATCGGGCCTTAAATATATAATAGAATTGGGCTTCATTTGTATTTAAAAGGGCCTTAACTTTCTTCTTCGGTCCAATATTTGTACTGAATTATCTACACATGTTGGTCTGGTCCGATACACACAGACTTTTGTTTGGATTGAGTTTGAGTCATTTAGTGGTGGTGTGATATGAAAGGGAATAGATTCATCTATAGAGGAATCCATTAAATAAAGGAGACAAGAAGCTGCTTGAAAACTAAGCAAACAAAACTAATACTTTCTCCTAATTTTTCTTTTTAATTTTCCCAACCTGCATGATTCCTGTTTGATACATCGATGAGCTAAAAGTTAAACACCAACTTTGTTCCACTTGTCGTCTTTATTGAAATTACACCGCACACGAATATCTTTTCATCGAGTTTAAAACAATTTTTAAAAATAAATAAGATGCTTTAGTTTCTTATTCCCATGCATGTGCATATCTTAATGAAAAAAAAAAAAAAAATCTCATCGTGTGAAAGTGTAAGCCCAAATGCGTCAATACTTCGAAAATAAAAGGAGTTAGACATGTAAATTTGGATTTTAGACATGTGTGGATGCAAAAAGGCCTGCATGGTTTACAACTTCAAAGCCTAACCCCTACTTACTTGTATAGATATGCCTCATTTCCTTTATATTTTTAAATTTATATATGTCAATATCACTCCATAACTATTAAACTTATAAATTACAGTTTGCAAGAATATAATGTCGTGTGTTCCTTTTTTTCATCTTCATAAATACTAATATTCTCTCTTGTGTTGAAATATTTACATCTTCGATCCGCATTTCTTTGTTTGAATGATGCAGACTAGGGAAGAGAGGAGAGCTGAGTCACCATCAGGTCTCGTCCTAACCACTGACCCTAAGCCACGACTTCGCTGGACCGCAGAGCTTCATGAACGTTTCGTCGACGCCGTAACTCACCTTGGAGGTCCTGACAGTACGTTTTCATAATCATCATCACTTCTTAACTTGATTGGTATTTATTCGCATATGTATATATAGTGTATTTGGTTTATGAGTAATTGAGTATACTATAAAGTTAGCTTTAGCTATAATTGTGATATATATATATCAACAGAGGCAACACCAAAGACAATAATGAGAGTGATGAGTGTGAAGGGTCTTACACTTTACCATCTCAAGAGCCATCTCCAGGTTTCTTCTTTAGCTTCCTTTTTTCTGTAATTTATGTTCTTGATTTCCTTTCTAAATAATTAGTTTTGCCATAGTTAAAACTAAAAACATATATATATATAAGTATATAAACTTAATTGATCATGTAATATGTGTCTACAGAAGTTTAGACTTGGAAAGCAGCCTCACAAGGAGCATAGTCATGGTAACTCCATTAATATTAGGGATACTAATAGAGGTGCGTCAGAATGAATAATCAGCCTCTTTTTCGTAATTTATATGTGATCATGCATGTAGTGTGCACCAATAATTATATTAATTATCATATTGGTTGATTTTTGGTTGCGCCATGAGTAGCTTATGGTAATCACATCATGCATGCAGCCTCCATGTTGGATCTTCAAAGGAATGTTGTGTTCACTACCCCGCACATCATTGGTCGCAATATGAACGAGTATGTGCTTCCAATTCCATGCCTAAATAACTATTGATTAAGATATAAATAATTAAATGGTAAATGGTAATGGATGCATGGTGATAAAGGATGCAAATGGAAGTGCAAAGAAGAATAGAGGAAGAAGTAGATGTAGAAAGACAGGTGAATCAGAGGATAGAAGCACAAGGGAAGTACATGGAGAGCATGTTAGAGAAAGCATGTGAAACACAAGAAGGAAGTCTCACTAAAGATTACTCTACTCTCTTTTTCGACCGAACCACTATTTGCAACAACACATCGTCCCTCCCAATCCCATGGTTCGAGGACCATTTTGCCTCCTCTTCCTCCATGGACTCACCTACGTTGCATCTCCCTGACATCAATTCCAACTTCTCCCTCCAAGATACTAGGAGTTCCATCACTAAGAACCGTACGGTTTGTCTCGGTTAAAGAATACATATATAGGTCTAGCTACCTGACTCTTTCTACTCTAGTTTCTAATGCACGCTTGGTGTATAAATGCACAAGTTACATGTACTAGCTTCTGCCAAACATGAAGTCTTTGTTATTCACATTATCTATAAAAATGAGATGTTGTGCAATAAATGGTGAAGTAGCTGCCTCATGAATGGCTGAATTCTTGTGTTTTATTTTGTGTTTACTTGCACAGTAAAATTTTAAATATTCTATCTTCAATATAGTCACTCTTCATCACTCCATTCTTAATCCACCTCTCATAATATTTTTAAAGAAATATTATGGCTTCAAACATCAGCTTGCGGTCTTCTAATTATCAGAATCAGTTCTGTATAGTGTATACAAAACGACCCATATTTTTATGAAAATATGCCAAAAGTTATGTATACAAAACGACCCCAAAACGGCATCCCTTTCTTTTTCTCTAGTTTGCAATCTTCTCAAGTTCCGTCTCTATTCGCACTTACACTACACAAAATTGTCACTAGATTAAATTACTATTGCACTAGTCCATATTCTGATTATTAATTTTTTCGCTTGTTTTCCAGTCACTTAGAGCATCAACATTGGTGAATTGTTTTGGGTGTTTTTAAATAAACAAATATTAAAAACACATTCTATTTTCCTTTTACTCAATTTTATACCTTCTCTTTCATCATTTTACTCAACTTTTATTAATTTTATATTTAAACACACCTCAACTAAAAGAAACTTTCTCTCTAAAAGTATCTTCCTATACAACTTAAAGACATCCTCTCTCTAAAAAATACCTACTATCTCTTCTTTTTATTCAAATGTTATTAATTTTATATTTCAACACCACATTATTTCAATTAAAAACACTCTTTTTCTTCCTTTTATTTAAATTTTAATAATTTTATATTTAAAAACACCCACAAAAGTTTACTATTACTGATGCTCTTACATAACATAAATTGGATTAAAAGCTTATTTCTTCAATTTTGAAGTGGTAATGTTAGATTCTAGATGGGCCTAGCAGGTCCCACCATAAAATGTCAATATATTTGCTGGACCCATAAGAGACCAGCAAGAGTCTGGACCTGGTCAAGGTGAGGTTTATGTTTATAGTCTCAAGTCTGTCGGTTAACGAGTTAATCGGAGTCTTCTGAATCAGAAACGGCCAAAAGGATGTTTTATTAATCTTTTTGTAAAGACTGTTACATAACTTAAAGATAAGATTGAACGATGGAGTAAATGTGTTATTTGTCTTCTCTCACACTTCACCACCTTTCCAATCTCTGTTATTATTCGTTGTTTCTCTTCTTTTTGAAAACGAAAAAAACTAAGTTAAGTTATATAAATGTCTCGTTTTTTTTTTCCTTTAGCAAATCGTGTTAAGAATTTCTATATACATTTTTCTGTTGAAATATTTCTTAATATAAATTACAAAAAAGGAGAAATAGTAGTCTACAAAAAATATAAACCCCAAATTTCGTTAAGAAAGCAAAAATAATCCAAATCACAATGTTATTATGGTTATGATCATTTGGTATTAA